AATGAAACTTTCGGTATACTCCCGAACTGTTCCATTTCCTTGCTCTAGCTTCAGAAAATCTTCCCCCATTTGTCTTACTGCCGTTTTAGGACAGAATTGATTTTTAAATCTATCCACAAATTCTACCCGAGACAGAGTCTGTAAAACATCCGTTCTGGTAGATGATTCAACTTCCCACCAAAATAAAGCATTTGACTTTAATACAGAAACAACAAATCGAACTTTATCTGTTTCCGGACACCGAATGGTGTTGAACACAGATTCCATCTCTTTAATCCAGCACATAGCTTTCACTGGATCTCTCTCTCCCCAGAAAAGGTTGGTGGTTTGCATGCTAAAAACATTTTAATATCTCCTTCTTTGTTGTGAGTGATTGGAGCAGAGGGATAAACTTCTACTCTTTTCGTTTCCACTCTAGCCGGTATTCCCATAATAGATGTCAAAGTTTCCCGTAATTTCCCCATTTCCTCCGCCAACATATCTCTAGTTATATATTCTGGATGTGGCACCGACCTTTCTTGAAAATTTCCAGAGTGGGATTCTTCATGTTCAGAATGTATTTCGGTCCGACCCCTTCCCTGAGACTGACTTCTTCCTCTACCTCGTCCCCTTGGTCTTCCCCGGCCTCTATTTCTGGATGTGCTAGTTGGAAGATTAACAGGTGACTTTTCCATTTCTTCAGACTCTGGATAAGCCGTTCTTTCAGATCTTCTAGTTCGGCTAGACATCTGCAGAATTTATCGTTAATAATCACGTATTCACATTCCCAAATATAATGAAATATTCAAGTTCAGATGTGTACCTGTAAATTTATAATTACACTAGCCAGATGTAATTAAAATTTACCTTACACACTGTTCTTTCAATTCATCATATTTATTTCCAATGGTGCTAACTATGTCCGGGACCCTTAACAAGCAATAAAACAGTTTAAGTCTAGGTATCATGCTGTTAAATACCTAAATCCCTTAAACTCGGGCTCTGATACCATTCTGTAACGCCCCAACCCACACATTGCATGTAACACATATTTCATACAAAAGAAATACATGATATCATTCATTCAGGTCCCTTAGTACAAGAATCTAACATGACCAGATACAAGGTCCAAAAATTCAAAATACATTTCTTGTACTAATCAATCAAAACAGATCTTCAAGCAGAAGCGCATA